GGAATAAATTCCAGGTAAAAATTCAGGATTTTTTTTTTGGTTTTTTTCCCCATCAGGATTTTCAAGTGAAGTGAAGTGATTCAGGAGCTGCCACAAAAGTGGGACACAAAATATTGTGACACGGGACCTTCTGACCCATCCGGGTGGGTTTTTGAGTACAATTTGGGCAGGACTTGGAAAAATCAGCTCCTTCAAGGACAACTTGGACAGGATTTAGAGTTTCAGCTCCTTCAGGGGCAATTTGGGCAGAATTTGGAAAAATGATCTCCTTCAAGGACAATTTGGAAAAATGAGCTCCTTCAAGGACAATTTGGGCAGAATTTGGGAGTTTCAGCTCCTTGAAAGACAATTTGGGTAGAATTTGAGAGTTTCAACTCCTTCAAGGACAACTTGGATAGAATTTGGAAAAAATCAGCTCCTTTAAGGACAATTTGGAAAAAAATCAATTCCTTCAAGGACAACTTGGAAAAATGAGCTTCTTCAAGGACAATTTGGCCAGAATTTGGAAAAATGAGCTCCTTCAAGGACAATTTGGAAAAATGAGCTCCTTCAAGGACAACTTGGGCACAATTTGGGAGTTTCGGCTCCTTCAGGAACAATTTGGGCAGAATTTGGAAAAATGATTGCCTTCAAGGACAATTTGGAAAAATGAGCTCCTTCAAGGACAATTTGGACAGGATTTGGAGTTTCGGCTCCTTCAGGGACAATTTGGACAGAATTTGGAAAAATTATCTCCTTCAAGGACAATTTGGAAAAATGAGCTCCTTCAAGGACAACTTGGGTAGAATTTGAGAGTTTCAACTCCTTCAAGGACAACTTGGATAGAAATTGGAAAAAATCATCTCCTTTAAGGACAATTTGGAAAAAAAAAATCAGTTCCTTCAAGGACAACTTGGAAAAATGAGCTCCTTCAAGGACAACTTGGGCAGGATTTGGGAGTTTCAGCTCCTTCAAGGACAACTTGGGAGCGTCACCTCCCGATTTTTCCATCTTCTTCCCTTTTCTCTCGGAGTCGCCGGTGAGGGAAACCAAAACCGAGGCGGGAAAGGAGAGGAGAAGGAGAAGGTGAGGAATTAGTGGTGATTACCTTTGGGCAAATCCCTCAGGCGGTTAGCGGGGATGGCTGCAAGGTAAGACAGTGCTGGTTAACCGGGTTAGTTTAAGCTTGGCTGGCCAAAGGAGCACCTGGCAAACGTAAAATTCCAAATTTCAGCGGGAATTGATCCCGTTTGGGAAGCAGAGAGGGAATGTCCTTCCCCCCGGACACCTCCGTGGTCTGTCCACACTCATAGCTCGAGGTAAAAGGGGATTATCAGCCTGGTGTGGGGTTAATGAGCCATTAGGGGGAAGGATGGGGGATAATTCGGGATTATTTGGGGGAATAATTTGGGATTTTCGGGGTTTGGGATTGGTGTTCCAGCCGTGGAGGGACACTGGGAGGTTGTGATTCCCGGGAATCCGAGGTGGCCAGGGGGTGACAGATCCCTGCTGGYCACACAGATCTTGCAGGGGCACAAACGGGGAATGGGGTGAGGTTTGTCCCTCTCTTATGGCAAAGGGAACATGCAAAGGGGACACTCGGTTATGTTCCAATGCCATCACTCAGAACCCCAAAATCCCACTAAATTCACTCCCAAATTTAGGACCGCTCTCACAGAGCTTCGACATCCCACTGGGGATATTTTGGGCTGCGTGCAATTAATGATTTTTTCATATTACTTAAATTATTTTGGACACAGCAGTCAGCTTTTCTGGACAACACCATCCGAGAGCATAACCCCTGCTCTGCCAGCACCTCCCTGAGCACCCAGGGGACAATCCTGGARCCCGGATCCCTTTTCCAGCCTGACCTCGAGGTCGGGGGGTCCYGCTCAAAGCCGAGGGCTCAGCTGTGGGGTTTACTCAGGAGGGCTTTACCCAGCACGGTGAGATAAGCCTTGGCCGAGTCCTTGTCCAGCTCCGTGCTGGCCACGCACGTGTAATCGCCCTGGTCCTTCTCGGCCACTCCAAAGATGGTCAGCCCGTCCTCCTCCTTCTTCATCCTTCAAGGGAAAAAAACCCCAAAACTCTGCCCTAATGTATTTAGGAATCACCGCTGAGGACTGGATGATCCCTGACAAAAACCTGGCTGGAAACCCAACCGGGACAGGGGAAGGTCTTTGGTGTGGAGGTTTTATCAGCTGAGGATATTCTGGGAAAGCTCATTTCCGAGGGAATCACGTGCCCCGGGGTGTATCCGGGGAATAATCACGATTTTAGGACAAAGGACAACCCTGGGCTGGTGCCCTGGGATCAGATCTGGCTGCCYGAGAAAGGGCGTCAGGTACGGAAAGGAAATTAAAGTGGAGGAACATTAATTTTGGAGCGGCTCGTTATGCACTCCCAGGTTTTATTGAGATGTCCTAAAATATCCGGGAATAAAACCTCCAGCCAAGTCTGGGTTTATTGATAAATCAGCCGGAACTGCTGAAGGGAGATTAAAAGTGTTGGGAACATCAAATATTCCTCCAGTGGAAGCTCAGTATTTATCCTTCYGGAATGTTCTGCTACAAATCCAACAATCCCAGCAGAGAAACGCAGAGAATTTTGGGATTTTTGGGCACAGACCTGCTCCCCAGGTACAGTGGGGCGTCGTCCTTCAGCCAGGTGACCGTGAGCCGCAGCGTGGGGTCGTGCTTGACRCGGCAGTGCAGCCGGGGCATGGTGCCCCTCTTGACCACCTGATCCTCGGGGCCCCGCACGATCCTGGTGGGGTCTGCATGGGGTCACAAATAAAGGGTCAGGTCCCAAAATCCTCAGGAACCCTTGGAATACTGATGGGGTCAAGGGTCACGGTCCAAAATCCTCAGGACCCATCACAATCCTGGTGGGGTCTGTACGGGGTCACGAATAAAGGGTCAGGTCCCAAAATCCTCAGGAACCCTTGGAATCCTTATGGGGTCAAGGGTAATGGCCCAAAATCCTCAGGACTCCTCATGATTGTGGTGGGGTCTGTATGGGGTCAAGGATCATGCTGCAAACTCCTCATGTCCCCTTGGAATCCTGGTGGGGTCTATATGGGCTCACAAATAAAGGGTTATGGCCCAAAATCCCCAGGAACCCTTGGAATCCTTATGGGATCTATATGGGGTC